GCCAGGGTACGGGGGCGGGCGCCCCCCGCCGTGACGTCACGGCAGCGCCGGCCAATCAGAGCGCGGCTCTGCCGTTGTTGCTGGGGCAGGGGTCACGTGACCTCGCGGGGAGTGGGGGGGTGGCCTCGTGGAGAGGGTCACGTGACCCCCGCCCTGGAAATCCCGAATTTCCCCGTCCCGACCCCAAATTTTCCCCTCCAAATCCCGAATTTTCCCCTCCAAATCCCGAACTTCCGCCTCCAAACCCAGAATTTCCCGTCCCAGTCCCAAATTTCCCGTTCTAATCCCAAATTTCCCCCTTCAAATCCCGGATTTCCCCTCCAAAATTCCAAATTCCCCCTCCAAATCCCGAATTCCCCGTCCCAATCCCAAATTTCCCATTCTAATCCCAAGTTTCCCCCTCCAAACCCCGAATTTCCTCTTCCAAACCCCGAATTTCCCGTCCCAATCCCGAATTTCCCATTTAAATCCCAAGTTTCCCCCTCCAAACCCCGAATTTCCCGTCCCAATCCCAAATTTCCCCCTCCAAATCCCAAATTTCCTCTTCCCAACCCCAAATTTCCTCTCCAAATCCCAAATTCCCCCCTCCAAATCCCAAATTCCCCCCTCCAAATCCCAAATTTCCTCTTCCCAACCCCAAATTTCCTCTTCCCAACCCCAAATTTCCCCTCCAAATCCCAAATTTCCCCATCCCAGCCCAAATTTCCCTTCCCAAATCCCGAATTTCCCCCCCCATTTTCTTGGCCCGCGGGCACCAAAGGGTTAAACCCGGAGCCGCCCCTCCCCCACCCGGCCGGGGCCTCCCGGAGGGGGCGGGGCCATCCCCGGGAGGGGGCGGGGCTACGAGCGGCGAGGCCACGCCCCCCTTTGGGGCACGTGCGGTCCCGCGCGCCGCGCGCGGGGAGGGGGGAGCGGGGGGCGGGGCTTGGCGGAGCCGCCGCGCTCTGATTGGCTGGAGCCGGGCAGGGGCTTCTGCGATTGGCTGGAGCGCGGTGTCCCCTGGGTGGCCCCGCCCCTGGCGGGGATGGGGCGCCCCCTGTAATTTAAAGTGCAAACCAGTGCAAACCAGTGCAAACCAGTATGGGTTTGTACTGGGCCCAGTACCTTCCAGTACATCCCAGTGCATCCCAGTATCGGTTTATACTGGTTCCAGTGCATCCCAGTGCCTCCCAGTGCATCCCAGTATCGGTTTATACTGGTTCCAGTACATCCCAGTGCCTCCCAGTATCGGTTTATACTGGTTCCAGTACCTTCCAGTACATCCCAGTGCATCCCAGTATCGGTTTATACTGGTCCCAGTGCATCCCAGTGCTTCCCAGTGCATCCCAGTATGGGTTTATACTGGTTCCAGTGCCTCCCAGTGCCTCCCAGTGCATCCCAGTATCGGTTTATACTGGGCCCAGTACCTTCCAGTACATCCCAGTGCATCCCAGTATCGGTTTATACTGGGCCCAGCGCCTCACAGTGCATCCCAGTGCCTCACAGTGCATCCCAGTACATCCCAGTGCATCCCAGTATCGGTTTATACTGGTCCCAGTGCATCCCAGTGCTTCCCAGTGCATCCCAGTATGGGTTTATACTGGTTCCAGTGCATCCCAGTGCCTCCCAGTGCCTCCCAGTACCGGTTTATACTGGGCCCAGTGCCCCCCAGTGCATCCCAGTATGGGTTTATACTGGTTCCAGTGCATCCCAGTGCCTCCCAGTGCATCACAGTGGCTCCCAATGCATCCCAGTATCGGTTTGTACTGGTTCCAGTGCTCCCAGTGCATCCCAGTACTGGTTTATACTGGGCACAGTGCCTCCCAGTGCTTCCCAGTCCCTCCCAATCCCTCCCAGTTCATCCCAGTCCCTCCCAGTCCATCCCAGTCCCTCCCAGTCCATCCCAGTCCCTCCCAGTCCATCCCAGTCCCTCCCAGTTCATCCCAGTCCATCCCAGTCCCTCCCAGTCCATCCCAGTCCATCCCAGTCCCTCCCAGTCCATCCCAGTTCATCCCAGTCCATCCCATCCCCCCCACGGCCTCCGCCACCGCCTCGCGGCGAATGGGCGTGACCAACCCGAGAGGGGGCGTGGCCTCTCCGCACGAGACCACGCCCCTCCCCGAGCCCCGCCCCTTTCCGCCGTACCCGACCCCACCCTCCCCCCTCAGTGGGCGTGGCCTCGCCCCCTCTGTGGGCGGTGCCGAGCGGGGTGGGCGCGTCCATTCGCGGTGCGGGGTGGGGGGGGGGCGTGGCCGTTTCCCCCATCAGTGGGCGTGTCCAGGGGGCGTGTCCGGGGCGGGCGGGGCGCGCGGCTCTCGGGTCCTTTGTTTGAGCGAGGCCGGAGCCGCGGAGCCGCCGCAGCGCCGGGGCCGGGCCGGGACCCCCGGGACCCCCGGGACCCCCCAGCACCCGGCAAGCCTCGGGACCCTTCCACCGACAGCTGACGGAGCGTACCGGCAGCGGGAAAGGCGCAGGTTAGCGAGCGGGGAGCGGCGGGGGAAGCGCGGCCGGAGCGGCCGGGCCGAGGCCTGAGGGGGGTGGGGGGTGTGTG